ACAGCATGGGATTAATTTTCACTGTTATGCTGATAATACCCAGCTATATTTGTCTATAAATCCAGATGAAGCTAACCCATTACATAGATTACAGGCATGTCTTGAAGACATAAAAAACATGAATGTAGACAAAACAGAAGTTATAGTCTTTGGACGAGAGTCTTTGAAAAAGAAGCTGATTAGTCAGTCACTGCATTTGGATGGCATTAAACTGATTTCAGATACCGTATTTTCACGAGTATAAGGCGCACTTAAACGTCTTTTTTTCCCTCAAAATGTGCGGTGCGCCCTATGGTGCGGTGCGCCTTATGTGTGTTGTAACTGCGACTTTTGAGACCACCTCATTGAGGAGATGATGAAAGAGTGGCTGAATGTAAGGAGACCAGGTGTTTTTTTTTTCACCCCTCACCATCGCTGTTAATATGTAACTCCATACGTGCCCATCTCACAGCTGATGTGAAAAACATGGGGAAACAAATTAACGCTGTGCTCCCTGTTCAACCGCTCGACATCGGTGTGAACCGGACCCAGCAGGTGCAGCAGAAGCAGCGAGTTAAATGCAAAGTCAATGGTTGACGCGCGTATAGGTGCAGCAAAAGGTCCCGCAGCGCGTTTTGGTGCAGCACGTCGGGAGCGTTTAAGCATCTTAAGCGCCGCCAACGCGCTGCTGCTGTTCGAGATGGAAAAATTGAAGTTTTGCTGCTGGACGCGCCGCATCAACCAATCAGAGAAGCAGATCTGGGAGCTGACAGCGAGACAGACACAGCGCTCTGATGACATATGATATTAAATGAAAAAGGTTGGGTGGATGCGTGGCTGAGGCAGGTGTATCTGAGAAGACTAGGTGGTTTTTTCCACGCATCACCATTGCTGCGTGCCCATCTCACAGCCGATGTGAAAAAAAGGTGAATCAAATGAACGCTGTGCTCGCCGTTATCCCGGGGGTTCAAAGTAAGGCTGCGAGCGGCGTGGGAGCGATGGATGACAGATGGAGACCACAGTTTCAGGATAAGTGGAAGGCAGCGCCGGGCAAGTTACGCCACCGTTTGCGGATGGATTGTAGATGCTTGGACTAGTGTCTGCTGGCTCTGTTGTTCAAGCTTTTGCAAAAGCCGGCATTATTTCTGAGGAGCTGCGCTGCACGGAAAGTGACTGACAGCGAAGAAGGGGAAATTGGCATGTCTGATTTAGCGCAGCTGTTCTATTCAGAAACAGAGGAGGATGACTTTGATGGGTTTGATTAATACTTTATAATAAATACATTAATAAAGCACAAACATACTCAGTTTTGCTCCCGCTGTATTTTTCTCCGTGAAAACTTAATTCAACAGCAGCCTCTGGGCGGGTCTCCTCCTCTTCAGCGCGGTGGCTGGCAGGTGTTTTTTCATCTAAATAATCTAAATCTTGCAGCTATATTTGCTGTGATCAGTGGGAATAAAGTAGTTTTAATATGTTTTTAAGTGAGAAAGTCCACCTGAAAACTTAATAATTGCAGTCAGTTCATCCAGATTATCTATTTCTGTCGGAGCCGCTCAGACCCCCACATACCAGCTGTGCACCGACAGTAAATCCCTTCAACAGCAGCCTCACCGCGGCTGCTGGCAGGTGTTTTTCATCTAAATAATTTAAACTGCAGGCACCAGGATACCGGCAATAAAAGCGAACATATTCCGTCGGCAGGTTCAGGATTTTAAGTTAATTTAGGAGTGACCACAGCGCTGTGTCATCTGCGATGTGTCTGTCTCACGGCCAGCTGCCAGGTTTGATTAATACTTTGTAATAAATACATGAATAAAGCACAGTCATACTCAGTTTTGGGCCCGCTGTATTTTTAAATACGCAGTAGAGCTATTTAAAGGTAGTAGAGGACATGTACCTGTATATAAAAAACACGCCCTATAGTCCGGTGCGCCTTATGTGTGTGTTAAATACAGAAATGGCACACATAACTGAGACTGCGCCTTTTAGTACGGTGCGCCTTATGGTCGTGAAAATACGGTAATAAAGTAAAAAACCTTGTTGTGGTTTTTGATCAGGACCTGCCATTTAAATCCCACATCAAAGAGGTTTCTAGAATTTCCTTCTTTCATCTGAGGGATATTGCAAAACTTAGAATATCCTGTCCAGGGGAGATGCTTAGAAACTAGTCCATGCTTTGTTACCTCAAGGCTGGCCTATTGTAAATCTTTACTATCAGGAAGTCCACAAATTGTAGTTAAAAGTCTTCAGCTAATCCAAAATGCTGCAGCCAGAGTTCTGATGAAAATTAAAAAGAGAGATCATATCTCTCCTATCCTGGCTTCCCGTTAAATCCAAAGTAGAATTTAAAATCCTACTTCTCACTTATTAAAGCCTTAAATGGCCAAGCTGTCTTATATCAGACATATGATTGTTCCTTATGTTCCTAACAGAGTACTTTGCTCCCTTTATTTTACCTTTTTTACCCCAATCACAGTACGGTAAGTAAAAAGCAGGAACAACATAACAGTTATGTGTTCTGTTTTTCTCATAGATCTTAACACTCATGAAACCTTTCCATGATAGCCCAGAATGAGCGGTGTAAAGAATTAACTCCGCTTGAGTTCAAGCACATTTACCGCACAAACCACCTGTGATACAGAGCCTGGACTTACCAAATTAAATTTTGTATAAACTCTGTGCATAGAAAATGGCATTGATGTTTGTCTAAGTCTTAATAAAGCATAATGGTTATAGAAAGGATCTATATAGCAGGGATTTTTTTATAAGTAATTATGTTCTTTTTTTGTTGTATTTGTATTTTAAATGTACAAGAATTTTATAAAAAAAGAGAAAGACTTCAAAAATAATCATTAAATTGTAGCCAATTTATATTTCTAAGGACTGTGTTTAACAAACAACAAATTCAACCTAAAGGAAATAGAGCAGTGGAAGCTTAAATACTTCACTGAACAGGTTCTCATTGGAGGGGAGATTATTGTAGCTCCAGATGGATTCAATAATCGTTTTCACACTGAATGGCAGCATCCTCTCATTGAGGATATTTTTATTCTCCAGTTTTAATCTGATTGTTGGAGATCAATGCATCTGAGACAAAACACCTGATTAAATTCCTCAAGTAGACTATTGGTTGATTCCTTACATGATTTATAATATTGTGTGGTAAAATATCACCATCCCCTTTAACTGATCATTGCTGTTACTTTTGTTCTCTCTTTGACTAAATGTAAATCACCATCATCCTTTATTTGGTAATTGAACTAACCTCTGGCATAATAGGGATTTCTGCACAGAAATCAGTAACCTCATTAAGAATATTTCATGGATGGAACTTTCACCTTTGAGGTAATAGGAATAGCTCACATTTAGTGCTAAGAAAGTTGCAGTCAGAATTAGTAAACTGGTTTATAAAATTGAGGCAAAAAAAAAACAACCACAACTGATTTATATCAACAATTATGTAGGAAATCAATTATATCATCTGAGGAGCAGCTTCAACTTGAGGAATTAAAATCTCAATTAGATAACTTCTTTCTAGACAAAGTTCAGGGGACCTTCATTTGCTACAGGGCTTGTTGGATCCAAGAGGCTGAGAACTCTTCAGATTGCTTTCATATAGAAAAACAGCAGAAAGAAAAATTGAGGCTTAATGGTGAGGTTTCTTAAGACTTGCATTTTAGTTTTACCTCCTAGGGACCACATGTGATTGGTAATAATTACGGCGCTGTATGCACAGATATTAATCTGCTCACGCTGTCAGGAAAAAGCTGCAGTGTGAGGATTCTTGCTATGAAGGTGAATTTGAAGTTGCAGTGAGAGTTACATTATAAGTTTATAATTGTAGAATAATAGAAAAAAACAGGTGGTTATTTTTCAATTTTGTGTACAACTACACAAATTGTGTTGTACAAGTTGTTCATCAAAAACCTCCAAATTGTCACTTTTTCTATAAATGGTCCAGAACTATTGTTGCAAAATCAGATTTTTAATGTTCAGACTCATGAAAAAATCAGGTACAGATTACATATTGGCAATAAAAAAACAAATAAAACAAAATTAAATCAGATTAGGGTCCCTTCAGGCTGCATTGTGAACATAGCCATAGTTAGATCCTTCATTCCTCTAGTTGCTTGGTTGTAGCGGCTCTGGACACACACAGTTATGGCAACTGAAACACTTGTTTTATCAGGTGGCAAACCAACTGGGCCAGAATACGTACCTACATTATTTCCTAATCTAAGTTCTCCAACAAGCAAAGGAGGATTTATCCAATGGCCAGATTTGAAAACACTCAGGCTCTAAAAAGCAAAAAGATTAATGCTGACGGAGGAGCAACAGGAAAGACTGGAGAAGACAGAAGGTGAATGCCATTAAACTATTTATTTTACAGCTTTAGTTTGGCTGAAAATATCAGAGAAAACATGGAAAAAGTTTGTAATTTAATGAAACAATATAAAGAAACACATTTTTACAATCCATGAGGTTTTTATTGCTGCTCGTTCATCAATTTAGAAGTGATTACAATAATTAAAAACATCCACAGCAGAATATAATCCATAAAATCAGTTGTATAAAATAGGTGATAGTTACTTTCAATCATAGCAGGTAAATAGAACATCTACAGAATCAAGAACAAAACTATTAGAATTAGTTCAAAGGAAAATTATACTTTCAAAAAATCTTTAAAAAGCAGAAACTTCACACTTCTAGAGGAGAGTCAGATTTCTTTAATACATTATTAAGACAAAGGCTTTTTACCGAGTTAAAGCAGGTTCAAACTGATCAGTAAAATAACAGCAACATCATCAATCTAGTTTATCTTTTTAAACAAACATGTTTCATCATTTTAGGACTTTAATTTACCTGAACTACAGACTCCAGCCTCTAAACTGAGTTCTTTGATGTCCCGTAGTTTAACCCCATAATCCCAGCACCCCCTTTCAAGGTGGCTGGAGCTACTTTGCAACATTAATTAGCTTGTAGCTGACTAACTCTGAGACTGACACACACTTATATATGTCCCAAATCTTCATCTGAGACTCCTCTATAGATGATCTACTTCATTCTAATATCTATTGACCATAGCTCTAACACTGTGCCAAAAACAGTTGGAGTTTTGGTGGGCCTGGTTTCAACAACACACGTAGCAGGGCTGATTGATGCATTGCTAATGAAAGCCAACAAGACACTGAATTAGCTAAACTCTGATCATTTGCAGCTGATCTCTTAGAAAATCCTCCAAAAACAAAAGCAAAACTGAGCAAAGCTCATTAAATCTGTCTTAGCTTTGCTTTTATTTTCATCTGAGGATATTTTCATCTGAATAAAAGTCTGTTTCTGGAATATATCCAACCGATAGCTTATGATTCAACTAAAATTTGAAGTAAAAACTAAAACTGGAGGGTTTTTTTTCTAAATAAATTCATTCAGAAAAAGATGTGCAACACCATGCCAACATTGCACAGTATGGGTCTGCCTTGATTTTATATTTACAATTTAAACTTATCAATTGCTTGTTCTATGGACAGCAAACTTGCTTCATCTGTAACTAATATGTTGTTGTTGCACTTTATCATGTTTATTCCCCTCATTACAGAAAAAATAAGAAATCATAAATTTCAACATTTTCTGGCCATTTAATTCTAATTTACTCAGGTCCAATATAATTAACTTTCAAATGTTCACTTCCAAATATTCACCCAGGACCTGAGTATTTACCAGATTTACTATATAACACCTTATCAGTTCTAGTTTCTATGTAAACAGAGTTGTTAATTAATCTCAAAACTTTCCTCAAAAAAAGACATTAACCCGTGAGTTTCTCATGTAATGAGGTGAAGGAGTTTCTAGATGGACATTTTATCACCAGTCAAACATGGTAAACACCTCTACTGTTCATTCCTGTGGCATCTAACTGCAGTGACTTATTCAAAAGGCTTCACACCTGTGTGAATTCTCATGTGAGAAGTCAAACTACCCTTTTGAGTAAATTTATTGTTACAAATGGTACATGAAAAAGGCTTCTCACCAGTGTGAATTCTGATGTGAGTATTAAGATCAGAGTTAGAGGTGAAGCTTTTTCCACAGGACAGACATTCAAAAGGCTTCTCACCTGTGTGAGATCTGATGTGTGTATCAAGATTAGATTTCTGAGTGAAGCTTTTTCCACAGGACAGACATTCAAAAGGCTTCTCACCTGTGTGAGTTCTCATGTGAGAAGTCAAATTACTCTTTCGAGTAAAATTCTTGTTACAAATGGTACAGGAAAAAGGCTTCTCACCTGTGTGAATTATCATATGTTTATCAAGTCTAGATTTCTTTGAGAAAAATTTTCCACAGGACAGACAATAAAACTTCTCACCTTTGTGAGTTTTCATGTGAACCATTAAATGCTTTTTTTTAAGAAAGTTTTCTCCACATGTCAAACATGGGAAAGGATTCTCTCTTGTATCTCTAATTGTCTGCTTAAGAACAAGCTGCTCTTTTTGCTCACTTATGGGGAGCTCCATGGTTTCCTCTTTTGTCCAGGGATGTTCTGGCTTTTGATGCTCTTCTTTTATCTGCGGATGTTCAGATTTCTCTTGGTCCAAACTGGATTTCCTCCCCTGTCCACAGAGCTGATGGTCAGAGAAATCCTCCTCTTTTCCAACATAATCCTGCAGGCGGTCTGGAAACACAAACACAGCAAAAAGGCGTTCTATTGGTGGTTAAATAAAGGACACCTCACATAAAAGCACCAAACTCTCTCTTTGAGGTTGAGGAGCCAGTGGATCATATCAAGCAACCTGAATCTTCAATCATTTTGGCCTAAATTTATTTCCCCACAAACAATTATTAAGGAAAGTAAAGCATTTACATCCAACACCACAGTGACTGTCTGGAAAATGAGGAATCAATGAGACACCCTAAACTCAGCAGCGTTTTCTGTACACCTCTGCCTGGAAGAGACAGACCCCAGCTCAATGTGTCAGAGGTTGAGCAGATTTCCAAAAATATTCTAATGAAATTTCTCCACTGTTAGCTTGGAATAATCTAATCCAGGTTCAGGTGTCTGAGTGTTGTAGTAGTTGTAGTTTTTAAATTAAATAAAAAGATTAAAGACACTTAAAGGGAAACTTCTGTTTTTTTGTTTTGTTTTTACATTGGGCCCTTGATTTTACGTTATTACATCATATTCTACTCATGTATATGAGTTTTGTGTCATTTGGAGCCGTTCTGAAGATATTCCTTTAGGTTATATCCAGGTAACGTCTTCCTATGGGCAATGACTTGAAGCACAAACTAAACTGTTCATAATTTATTATTTATGGCACGCCAGCATTCATAACATGTAGGCGAATCACTGTCTCCCAGACATCCACGGTTTTATTTTTTATATTTATAAAACAAAGCAGTGCGTGTATGACATCGTCTGCGCGCCGGACTGGAGTCGTAACAGGAAGCCCGGGCCCCAGGCGGCTACGCTCTACCCCTTCTATTCATTCGGCGAGCTAATCTGAATCATTCAATTCCATTTCGAGAGCAAGATCATCTGTGGTAGTAGCACTAGACATCTTCCAGGCATGTGAGTAAAACTAGCAGCAGTTAAGAGGACAGGATGAACGAACGGTAGCCGGTGACGTCATACACGCTGTTTTTAAAAAACATGAATATAAAAAATATAACCGCGGTTGTCTGGGGGAAAGTGATTCGCCTAGAACATGATGTGATAACGTAAAATCAAGGGCCCAATGTAAAAAAAAAACGAAGTTCCCCTTTAATATGCAAAAATGAAAGGTGTCACCCTTTTACCCTTGTGGAATGCTATCGTCCAACAACGATTTTGAGTCAATTGATCACATCGCCTTTTGAGCTGCAATATGTTCATAGGAATTTAGTAGAATATAGATTAAGAGATTTTTTCTCTCAATATAGTTAGAGATTAACCTCTGAACTGTTACTTTAGAGCTGTGAAAGGATTTCAGTGAATTGTGAATTGAATTCTCCTCACATATAAAGCATTCAATGGTCAAACTAGATCTTATATCAAATCATTCTCTATGTTCCTAACAGAGCACTTACCTGTAAGTCTGCAGGTTTACTAGTGGTTCCTAGAACTTCTAAAAATAGAATGGGATACAAATCTTTTAGTTATCAGGCTTCTCTCCTGTGGAACCAACTACCAGGACATAGGGACCCCTTTTCAGATCACTACCGTGCCGTGCTATCGGCACCCCTGCATCAGTTAACAGCTAGCTTGTTAACTATCTGGAGCAGAAACCTTTTCTGATGGTTTTAAAATATGCATTTCAATACACAATCCCACTTCTTCTAATACAACCACAGTTGATGCAAGCTGGAAATCTGCCACTATGCCGGAGAACTTCAAGCCCTGCAGTTCCTAACAACGGATAATTTTATTCCTTTTTTTCTCACTTGTAGTTATAACCTTTTCCATTTTGTGTTGAGCTGTCGCTTGCCAAACTGCAACCTGAGAGTAACTGTTGTCAGAAAATGTAGATTTCTCTTCTATATTATTTTATCCTATTTACTCACTATAAAAGTTTTCACTCAGCCTGATTCAACTTCAAGGCCAGACAATTCTCTGCAGGATGGTGTTTGTAGACCAGACATAGTTTCTTCCCATACCAAACCAGATTCTTTCTCAAGGTTTATTCATAAAATTTTACTGTTTAACTAAAGTGTTTGTAATTTGTTTTGACTCTGACAACTTTTCCATTGTTGTAAGTAAGGGGGAACGAACGCTGTCCAGATCAGAACAGAGCAGAATGCTGTGCCATAAAGGCTGGCTGAACTGTTCTCTTTTTGCAAAGATATGAATAAATGTGCCAACTGAGTGAAATCCATCGATCTCCATTTATTTAACTAGGATGAATAGTCAAATACTTTTTTTCCCGCTACAATTGGGCGTTGTCAAAGCAGGATTCTCCTTTACTGATGTTTTCTGAGGACAGCGATTGTCAGAAGTGTCAGGTACCACCTGGAGGAAGAAGTCTTCCAGCCTCAATACCCCGTTTAGAAGATTAAGGGAGTGAGGACTTCTGGCATCGAGGTCCCTGGAGGTCAGCAGGAGGATCAAAAGAAACCATTTCTTTTTGAGATGGTGTGATGAATCTTTTGTCGGCACAGTTTAAAGTAAATTTTAAAAACTAAATTACAAAACAACAGATTGTTAACAGCTTTAAAGATTTAGAAATCAAATACTGGAAAATTAGCTCAAACAAACTAAACTAATCAAATAAATAAATGTAATCTAGCAGAAAAACCTAACTAAATTAAAGAATAATAATCATTTCAAAAGCATTAAAATGAGTATAAAACTAAAGAATATAAATACAGCCAGAGGAGCCTGTTCAGTGACAGACTGCTGCTTCCCAAGTGCCGGACCAATAGACTTAAGAACTCTTTTGTCCCCCACGCCATGAGACTGTACAACGCCTCACTGGAGGCGACACGGGACAGGGGGAAGAGGGAAGGAGTAGCAACACTTGTATTTTTTTTATTTTTTCTGTTAATTGTGAACTCTATATTTATTTGTATTTTTATTTTGCTTAATTTTAATTTCATTTAACTTAATACTGTTTTGTTGCTTAATTTTAATTTAATTTAACTTAATACTTTTTTGCCCTGTAAGCTGCTGGTAACCTTAATTTCCAGAGGGAGTCTTCCCAAGGGATCGATAAAGTACTGTCTAAGTCTAAAACTAAGCCTAAAATAAAAGATAACTTTTCTTTTTGGGGAGCAGAAAAGCAATTCGGTTTTTTTTTTTCCACCTTTGGAACAAAGGAGCCTTGCATAGGAACGTGAGGCTCTCTCTAAGCACTAAGAGGAAGGTTGTAGGTGCTACCAGAAGGCATTTAATTTTACTGCGACGTCGTTATCTTAGAGTAGGTTCCCCCCCAGTTATCCAGGTCGGCACCAGAGGATTGGTGTAAGGCAAGGTCCTAGGAAATTGTCAACTGCCCAAGGAGACATTTTTGATTAAATGCTAAGAAAATCAGGTTATTCTAATGTTGCAATACAAAAATGTTAAAGATAAGATAAAGCAATATGAGGATAAGTTAGAGGCAAAATTAATAACTCATAGCTAAAAAAACTATCAAATTATTACAGAATGAAAGTAAGTAGTAGGGCTGGGCGATAATTCAATAACGATATATATCGATCGATAGACGTGTGGCGCAATAGAAAAAAAGAGGGTCGATAAAAGTTCGATAAAAAAGAAACGCAGTTTTCCTTCCTTCTCATTGTAGCCTAGCATGTAGGGTTATGCTAGTCACTGCTTCCTCCCAACCAATCACAATCGCGGACCCAGGCACGCCATCACCAAGTGCCACCCTCTCAAACCACAACACAGAGCACATGAAGATGTCGCAGCAAGGAGAGGCGGAGGAAATTGTTCCAAGGAAAGGTTTTTGTAGTTCGGCAGTCTGGCAGTATTTCGGTCATGGCAAGTCGGACAAAAAACAAACCACAGTCATCTTTAAATTGTGTAGGGAACCAGTGAAAACGAAGTCTGGTAACACAACCAACTTGTTTTTTTTTATCATCTCAGCCGCTCACAGCCGCAGGAGTACAAGCTGTGTAGTCCCCGACGCGGCTCTCCTCCGAGGAATCTTCGGGAATTTCGGAAAAATATATATATATATATTCAGTTCTGGGCAGTTTCCCACATAGTTCTAACAATTGAGAGAAAAATGCTGAGGGGGCAGCAACTTCAAAGTAAAAACTCAGGTTAAAGCAGGAAACGGGGGCGGCGGTGGGGGGGCATTTATTTATTTGTTATATTTATTTTGGTCACTTTCCTGGTCACTTTAGTTTATTCTTTGTCAGTATTAAATAACATAACTCAGGTCTCTTAAGTTATTTTTCTTTAAAACAATTATGTTATGGTTAAAAAAGTTGGTTAAATAAAGATTTAATTCGAAGTCTGTGTTTGTGTTTTTTATTAAAATTAAATCATTTAGCAATATTATAAAAAGTCCAGGCAGAGCTGCACATAAAATATGGTTTCAAATCTTTTCAATAATTATCGATATCGATCAATATGCATTTTTTTTATCGATAATCTTTTTTTCTATATCGCCCAGCCCTAGTAAGTAGCGCATAAAATAAGGTGAAATTAAAACTTGTAAAATTGAGGAATTAACGTAAAATTGAATTACAAAAAACAAAATTAAATTGAAAAAAGTTCAGAAAAGGGCAAAAATACAGTGGTGAGAAAAGTATGTGGTGAGAGGGAAAGGTGACTTAAAGTGGCTGAAGTATGAAGTGGGGCGACTGATGAAACGACGTTCCTTTCCTGAAAAAGGCTTCTTCTTTTTTATGGCAAAGATAGACAAATATGGAAAGACAAGACAAAAGGATTTTCATCTTCTCTGAACCCCTGACCCTAATAACTCACCTGAGCTGCAACTTGCGCCACAATGTGTGTGTGTGCAAGAACCATGAGGACAGAGACACTGGGGAATTTGTTTTGTGGGGAAACAAGGAGGAGGTTCACCAAAATAAGGCTTTCCTTCTCTCCGGTGCTAAATTAATTTTTAATTAATGAAATATTTGTTTTTGTTATTACATATTCGGGGTAACAAAAAAATGAAGCAAATTGAACTAAGAACCAACAGAACATTATAGCATTTGTTTCTCTGCTTGCACGAAGGCGAATTC